GGCAGACAGGTAGTGGTAGGGTAGGAGAGGTAGGGGCGGGGGGAGCCAGGGCGGGAGTGGTGCGGGTAGACAGGTAGTGGTAGGGTAGGAGAAGGTAGGGACGGGGGAAGCCAGGGCGGGAGCGGTTGGCGCAGGGCGGTAAGGGGCAGGAGTAGAGGGTTTTGGGTGCATGGAGTTGGACGTGGGGGGGGGTGGTCGGGGTAGACCTGGCAAAACTGACCCAAACCCGATAACCCGGAACCGAACCCAAATTGATCCGAAAATTGAAGAATCGAAATAGAACCGAACATCCGAAATGATCCGAACCGAACCGAATGTATTCAGACCCGATTCAGATCTGAATCCGATTTATCCCGAACCAATTAAACCCGAACCCGGTTAACCCCGGAACTGATTAGACCCAAACCGATTAGACCCGAAATTGATCAAATTCATTAATATTTCATTTATCCAATGAACTTGGAGAAAAAGAATTACCTATATATTTTTACATATGTTGATGTGTTTCTAAAAAAAAATTAAATTATGGGTGCAAAGCGTGTAACTAATTTCATGTACAAATCTTTTACTCCGTATTTTATAGCTTAAGTTAAATTGTTTTTTGTATTTTATCGTCTTCGAACTTAAAGTTTGACCAACATCGTCTCTTCAAAGATATTAGCAAAAAATATTAAAAATAATACATTTAAAGTGTTTTTTAATACCAACAATTTGGTAACAACTTTTACTTTGTATATTTTAATTCATTATATATTTTTATATATAATTATTCAAATATTTGACACACAGAGTGAAACGGATAGTTAAATAGAAATAAAGGAAGTACGAAGTAGAATGTTAACTAAAAAGATCGCGCCGAAAACTTTAGGAGGGAAAACTTTAGAATGTAAACAATTAGTCATTTATGTAAGTGTTATTTTTTATGTATGTCCGTGTTAAATAATAAAATAACTATGGAGTATATCATAAATTGATTAAATTTATTATGTGATATTATTGATTTATTAGTAAATATTTAAAATCTATGTGAACTAATATAAACCTAAATCGACACAAACCCGAATCAATATAAACTCGAACCGATACAAACCTGAACCGATATAAACCCGATCCAATACAAACCTGAACCGAAGCCGAAACCAAAAACCAGTCAAACCGAAATAAACCCGGAACCGACCCGACCCGAACCAAACCGATTATAACATATATCCGTATGAGACCCGACCCGAACCGATTATAACATCTTTGTGGATTTTTTTAATATACTACCTCCGTGTATTTGTTCAGTTTGACTAAAATGAAACTAGATAAACTTTGAACTCCAATTACTCTCAATTTGTGTATGACATATTAGTATAACGAAATACAATTTTGAAAGTTCCCAATAAGATAAATCTAATGAAAGCATTTTTATAATAAAACACATTACAATTTTTATTTGATTGAAGCTCAAAGTTCACCCAATTTGATTCAAAAAAATCAAACTAAACAAATACATTAGGACGGAGATTGTTGTTTTTAAATATGAAAATTTTATATTTTACTAATTTTTTAGCCAGTTAATGTATTAAATAAATTGAATAGAAAATATATTTACGTTAGTATTACAAAAAGTTGGTTTCCAAACATCTCCAATTGCTTGACTAATGTCAAACATATTACTTTAGCAAAAAAGAATTTTTGAAAAAAGCCACAAAGTGCACCAATTTGTCATTTGCAAACCCAAAAGAATAAAATGGTTTTCATAGATGCCAAGTTTCTTTATTTTGTGATGTTTCTGTTTGTGATTTTAACCTTTCTCTTTTTTTAGCAAAAAGCCATCCCAAAAGTTTGTAGCCAAATGATCAAAGTTTTGTCAAATGAACACTTTAAAGGACAAACCAAGGAAGTGATCAGCTAAATGTGCTGATAATGTTTGTGAAATGGATGGGCCTTAGTATATACACAATCTTGCAGTTCAGTTTGAACAATGGAAGTGGGGGAACTTCAGTTCCGTGCCCTGCTTTCTTCAGAGAGGGTCCAAAGAAAACAAGAATCTATAGAGCTGGCAATGGCATCCTGGGGATTTGTCGCAGGCGGTTGATTGTTGCAGCACAGGCACCAGAAGCAGCTGAACCTGAGACTGATGAGAAGAAACAGAGTGATAAGGACAAATGGAAGGGCCTTGCGGAGGACATATCCGATGATCAACAGGACATTGCCAGAGGAAAGGGAATGGTTGACACTCTTTTCCAGGCTCCTCAGGGTGCTGGCACTCACCATGCTGTCCTCAGCTCTTACGAATACATCAGTCATGGCATTCGCCAGTAAGTCCGTATTAGCTATCTATTAAGACTTTCTTGGTACATTGAAAAATGAATGAACGTAGACATAAGGCATGTCTACGTTCAATCATTTTTTAATGTATCAAGAAAGTCATAATGGACAGTTAATATGGAATGGAGGGAGTATCAATTATCGAAGAACCAACTAAGCCAAAAGCTTGAGTTTGTGGATTTTGGTCAAGAAGGCTTTGATATCATGTCAAAGAACCAACACAACCAAAAGCTTAAGATCATGGTTGTAGGTCACGTAAAGGTTTTATATTCTAACACAAGACAAAAATAATGTGCGCGTTTTTTGTTTTCAGATACTCGGCATTTGATAACACAGTAGATGGATATTACATTGCCCCCGGTTTCATGGACAAGCTTGTTCTCCACATCACCAAGAACTTCGTGAAACTGCCCAACATTAAGGTTTGACTTGTCATATGTATACTTTTGGAAATGAGTGTGGGGTGAATAATCCGGATATAGATGGTTTTCACAAACTTTTTTTTGTAGGTTCCTCTCATCTTGGGTATATGGGGAGGCAAAGGTCAAGGAAAGTCTTTTCAGTGCGAGCTTGTCTTTAGGAAAATGGGAATCAAGTGAGTTTTGCTTCATTTTGATGGACAGAGAAAAAACATTTAGGCTATGTTTGGCAAATAGAACAGGCACAATGGACTCATTTGACTATTAAATATTTTAAGCCATGTTTGGTGAATGAACTCCATTTCAGGCATCTAAAGTTAGTTGAGCTATCTGAAATACAATAAGTTAAACTAAGCTGTATCAAGTACTATAAGTTGAGTGACTTTACAAAAACTAGCCACTTTTTCTGGTTGTTTTGCCAAACACAGCATAATAAATATAGGGAAGTAAACAGAACTACCACACCATTGACCATTCTTGAACAATATATGCTTGATATTGAAAACTCTCAGCCCAATAATGATGAGTGCTGGAGAACTGGAAAGTGGGAATGCTGGTGAGCCGGCTAAGTTAATAAGGCAAAGGTACCGTGAGGCAGCAGAAATAATCCGGAAGGGCGACATGTGTGTCCTGTTCATCAATGACCTTGATGCAGGAGCGGGCAGGATGGGCAGCATGACACAGTACACGGTCAACAACCAAATGGTGAATGCCACACTTATGAACATAGCTGATAACCCAACCAATGTCCAGCTTCCAGGCATGTACAACAAGCAGGAGAACGCGCGCGTCCCCATAATAGTCACTGGCAATGATTTCTCCACACTTTACGCCCCTCTCATTCGTGATGGTCGCATGGAGAAGTTCTACTGGGCCCCAACTAGGGCTGACCGGATTGGTGTTTGCAAGGGTATATTCCGGACTGACAATATTCCTGATGACCACATTGTTAAGCTTGTTGACACCTTCCCCGGGCAATCAATAGGTAATCTTTGTTAAAGTATAAAATCTTTCCTAGGCCTACAGGCTACAACCATAGGTATAAGCTTTTGGTTAATTTGGTTCCTTGATATCGTATCCAAATATTGCTTGCATGAGACTTGGTACCTTACAAATTACAATCATTGAAAGATGAAAATTGTACCAACTCAGTAAAGCCTATTGAACACTGTTTATAAAAGGAGATAATTTAGTTTGTACAATGTTTGAGTGCAGATTTTTTTGGTGCCCTAAGGGCAAGAGTGTATGATGATGAAGTGAGGAGGTTTATCCAAGACATTGGTATAGAAAGTGTAAACGAGAGACTTCTGAACTCTCGAGATGGACCCCCAAGTTTCGAGCAGCCAAAGATGACCCTTGAGAAGCTGCTTGAATATGGAAACATGCTTGTACACGAGCAAGAGAATGTTAAGAGAGTTCAATTAGCCGAGAAGTACCTAAGAGAGGCTGCCCTTGGAGATGCAAACGACATGCTACGTGAAAATAAATTAAACCTCTAACCATCCAAGAAAATGTAAGAAAATATATACAATGTTCTTACAACTTAAATGCCACCCCCTCCGTCACATGACTATCTTCCATCTTTCATTTTTTCCATCCGTTTCAAAATTATTATCACTATCTTTTCGAAAAACGATTCTCTTGTTGATACTGTTTCTCTATTCTATGCATCAATCTCAACCAAACAGTTTCATTTTATTAAAATGTGTAAAGTCAGAATCAAAGATTAATATGGGATGAAGGGAGTAATACAATTGGTACTATACTAGGAGAATAGAGAGCGGAATGGACAATCAAAATTACAATACTCAATATAAAATTACCATAAGGAAAACTACAAGAGGAGAATAAGATTATGCTTTGGATGCCATAAAGGACCTTAAATATCAGAAGGTTTGCATTACTGCTCTTTTCTTTGCAGGTTCTGAAGAATAAAAGATTTGGTAAATATTCCAGCCACATCTCAAAAGCAATGATTCTTATGTCGTTATGCTGGGCCTGCATTGCGCGCAAACTCCAATCGCGGTTGTGGTTAGCAGCTCTTTATCCCCGAATCTTGTGGGGTCCAATTGGATTGTTGTTGTAGTAGTTCTTGTTGTATAATTGTAATTAATATGCTGTATATTCTGGCATATATTATGGGTATTTGTTTTCTTGCATTGTAAATGTAATATGAGGATACAGGTCACCTGCAAGTTAATAAAAATGACATTTGATTTGTGGATTGATGAGTCTTGGCCCACATCTTCTACTCTGACCCATCTTCTTTATGTGCTTCACTCGTAAGGAACACATTTTTGTTTATGTGTATGGATGGCTTTGACATTCATTTGAATTTTAATGTTGAGATAAGATTCAATTCAGTGTATTCGTAAACTAATACTCACTCCTTTGTATTACAATTGTTCATTGTTCCTCCAAATGATGTTTATTTCTTTCTACCTTTTCATGTTTATGTATTTGTTTTTTGGGCTCATTTATCTTCTGAAAAGTTCTCCTTTGAGCATAACGGAGGTTTGTTTCCTTTTTTAAAAACTTTCATTTAGAGATGCGGATGTGATTATCATAGTATATTTGGATGTACGTTATACGTAATGTTCAAAGGTAACATACCCATCTTCTAAAAAAAGGTTGACATCAATTGTGCAGGAACAAGATAGGAATCCATTCAGATCATTTGGGTTCCACTTTTGCTGAAAATGTGAACTCCCTGCCGCTATAATCAAAGGCATCATGGTGTGCAATGGCAGCTCTCAGTGATCCAAAGTCTGTAGTTGATGAGGAAGCAGACACCGAGTTTGTGTTTAGCCCATCATCGTTCTCTATGAGGATGGTCTCAAGTGTCTTCACTACTTCACTCATCATGGGACGCCCATCAGCAGATTCTTCCACACACTGCATTGCCAACTCTATGAACTTCCCAAATCCACAAAGGCTTGTTTGGATGTTTCTTAAACCAGGATCCATCATATTGCTCAGGCCACAGTGCTCCTCCTTGCTGTTTACTATGGCTCTTACCTCCTTGACAATGTACTTCCCCTTTTCGATTGGTTTTCTGGCCGTGACCAGTTCAAGCATCACAACACCAAAGCTGTACACATCACTTCTCTCTGTAAACTCTTCAGTCAAATAGTATTCGGGATCCAAATAACCCTGCAGGTAAAAATCAATATGAATATATGAAGACTGCTAGCTACAAGTGTGACTCTCATTTTGTGTGCAATACTTAATTACCAGTGTGCCTTTGACTTGAGTAGATACATTTCGTTTTGTGTGATCGCTTACAGGCTTGGACAAGCCAAAATCGGCAACCTTAGCCGTTAAGTTTTCATCCAATAGAATGTTTGTGGATTTCACATCTCTGTGAATGATGGGAGGATTTGCTAGGTCATGTAGATAGGCTAGTCCTCTGGCTGAACCAAGAGCTATTCTAAGTCTCCTGTTCCAATCAAGATTAATGCATCTTCTCCCTGTCATACACAAGTAAATGAATCTCATTATTGCTTCTTTTGACCACCTAGAATGACGAAAAAAGCCACATTAGCCATTTAGCGTACCTGACAAGCATTCACTTAGACTCCCATTTGGCATAAATTCGTACACCAACATTTGTTCTCCTTGTTCAAAACAAAATCCAACAAGGCCAACAAGGTTCTTGTGATGCACGCGTGAAAGCAATTCGATTTCGGTTTTGAACTCTACTCCCACTTGCATTGATCCCTGTTGAGCTCTTTTAATGGCTACCACTTGCCCACAAGAGAGTATTCCTCTATAGACCTATGCATCCGAAGAAAATTTTGGTAAATCTCTTTAAGTAGAGCAAATGATGGAGGCTATCTATGAGTTCATCATAATGACAAATACTCCCAATATGTAGTTTCATACCTTGCCATATCCCCCGGAACCAACCTCATTGCTTTGAGAAAAGTTGTTTGTGCATTTTTTCAGTTCCTCCGAAGAGAACCATCTTGCCCCTTTCAGTTGGGGCATGCCACAACTGTCCGAGCCACTTGGAGCCCAAGGTGCTAAACATGAAGAATATCAAGGAGCATAGTTAAAAACCAAGACTTAAACACAATGCCTAATTTCCAATATATTATCAGTATAATCCAGTGTTTACTTGAAGGTCTGCTCAGTCCAATGGCTCTTTCAGCACGTTTCTTTTGCTGAACTGCATAAACTCCCAAACCAGCAAGCAACAGAACCAAAAAGGCGCAACCAACAGATACTCCGATAATCATCCTTGAGCTTATGGATGTTCCTCCATGCTCAGCTGAAATCATAAAGTTTTTTTTTGTCAAAAAACCAACTTAACCAAATGCTCAAGCTTGTGAAAAGGTTTTAAACAACATTATTTACTTGGGTTTTCCTTCACATGAACTTTAATCCTAAAACATTTTTACTTTTTGCTACCTGGAAAAGAGTACGGAGATGCTATGAAATAGTAAGGTCCGAATTCTGGAGGCGGCTTATATGTCTGGTTACTCAAGAAAAATCCAATTCTCTGAACCTCCGACCTGCTAAAATACATTCCTGTGGATGGAAAGAGTTCCAAGTGCACCTGAAGATAGTCATCAATGTTGAAAAATGGGTTCATAAGAGAAACCGAACCCGGGCTGAGTCCTAATTTTACCCATAGACTCATTTCAAGAGAGTGGAACAATTCGACATTGGACAGCTCCCGGAAGGTGGGTCCCCTAAAGTACAATGTTCCCTCGTACGGGTACGCACATTCACAACTCTGTGGGCTAAGTTTTTTATTGGAGGAACAAGGTTTGGTTCCACAGTTGGCCAGGCTTGTAGAGTATGGCTTAGCAGCTTGGTGCTGAAGGTGACAGTAATGTGTGTTGGCTAGCGCAGAGACGCATATTGGGTTTCCTATCAATCTGACAGAAAAGAAAAATAAAATGATCTATCTGATTGTAGACAAAGTTTGTCATCAAAATGATTGCTTTGATAAAGTTGAATTCTCCCCTCACATCAATGTCTTTGTATATCCTGAGCCAAGAGTTACTGATGATATCTCATTGTTCTGAAAATCCACAAGTTGAAGTCGCGGACTGATGCTGCTGCCCATGCTCAAAGTATTATTAAAGGCATTGTTCCGAAGCTTCCTGTTGCAGTTTTTTAGGCAATTCTCTTACTTTTTGTGGGGAAAAAAGTAATAAAGTTCACTCGTTTATGTTCCTCATAGGACTTACACTTGTTGAATCTGAGGGAAACTGAAAAGTTTCAGTGGCACTTGTCCCTGAAGTGAGCCATATTCCATCACCCTGATCAGCAGACCGTTTGTTAAATATTTTGAAAACAAAAGGAAAAGAAGCTCAAGAATTCAGCTTAAATTTATGATCTCGCTACTACTGACAAGGTTGTGAGTGACTGTAAAGTTGAGAACCACTGTGGAGCTTGTGACTGCTCAAAGGTATTGTTGCTCAAATCCCTGTGAAGAGAAACAAAATTTCAAACTGCAACATAATCCTTTCTTTTTTTTTTTTACGATTTCAAGGAATCTGTTGGGAATGCCTTCCAATAGAAAGGAAGAGAAACCAAAATGAATAGGTTCAACCCAACTCCATTAGAATGAGCCCTTTTGGGAGATCACAAAAAAACAAATATGTGAGGGTTTAGCTCACAGCGGACAATATCATACTAATGCAGAGTTGGGTGTGGTGCGCGCAAGCCCAACAGAATTCCAATGCTTCACCCTTCTTTTTTAGTTGCAACACTTCCATTGGTGAATTTGAAATTCAAACTGTTGCAAGTAAAAGAAACGGGAGAAGTATTTGAATTGGAAAAATAAGGATAAAAATGAGAGTATGGATTTTAAAAATTGCACCTACAAATAATTAAGCGAGTTCATTCCATTCAGGTCAGGTAGCGGGCCAGAGAGGCTGTTATGTGCCAAGTTCCTGCAGCCAAACACTTGCATAGTCTTTCATGTTCAAAGAAGGAACATTGTATTTTGTTCCTTATATTTTAAATGGATGATTAAAAGACACTCACAGTTCTATGGTGCTTGTCAGGTTGTTGAGATTCAAAGGGACACTACCATTAAGGAAATTTCTATCGAGCCGGCTGCATATATATGAGCACAAATGAGTACTATTGCCAAACAGGGAATAAGAAGAAAGTGCAAATGCAGGTAAACTTGTGATGCTTGAATTACTACTACTCACAGGACCTCAACTGTCTGAACTAATCCTATTGTAGACGGTATATTGCCGCTAAATTTATTCCCATCAAATAGTCTGTCATTAATAACCATTCATAATGTGAGAGAGAGAGAGAGGGAGAGAGAAACAAGGTGTTAGTTTGATGGTGGATCCAATATCAGGACTTACATGTGTATGAGCACCATGTCACTGCTAAACAGTTTGGCAGGAATTGTGCCTGAAAGCTGGTTTTTGTTGAAATGGCTGTGAAGCATTAAAAATAAGACTTTGGCCATAAAAACACTTTTACACTATGTTTGGTTCAAGGAATTTGAAAAGGAAAAGAAAAGAAAATGAAATGGAAAACAGTTTTTCTTGTTTTGTTAGAGAGGGAAAGAAAAGAAAAGTTGAAGGAAAAGAAAATGAGAAGACTAAATGTACTAAGAAGAGGAAAAACTAAATTCCTTCCATTTTGGCGAGGAAAATGAAAGAAAATCATTTTCTTTTCTTTTCCTTCCAAATTCCTTGAACCAAACATAGTGTTAAGGACATAAAGTTCCACATTGAACACTGAAAACTAAAAAGACTAATGTAGGCTATTCCTCTCATTGCCGATTGGTTTTGGAATGAAATTTCACAATTCTATAGTCCAACCAAGTCACAATACACACATATAGATCACTCACAAGTGTTTTGCCCTTTTCAGAAGATCCAGTCCCGGATCTTTGAGTGTCGATACAGGGAGAGATCCTGTCAACTGATTATCAGCCAGGTCAAGCCAGTAGAGTTTGGATAGATTGCCCAAAGATGCCGGAATTTCACCAGTAAAGTTATTTGAGTTGAGTGCTCTATCAAGTAGCCATCATTCATTGGATCAGTGGACAAAATTACAGTTTACAAAATAAAAATGGGTTTCCAGTTTCAATCAAAGATAAGTCTTACAAGAAGGACAAATCAGAAAGTTTTCCAAGTTCAGCAGGTATGCTCCCACTGAAGCTACATCCTGCAAGAATTCTGAAATGTGAACAAACAAGTTAATGTGGGTTGGGGATGAGGTTGATTATCAGTATCATACTATCAGGTTTGTATTTTGATCTTTACTTACAGTATGCTTAGTTTCTG